AAAAAAAAAAAGCCACTTACATTAAAAATTTTCTGAAACTTTTGGATTCTTAACTGCTAAACAGTTGTGACAGATAATAAATACATTAATGGTATTCACCACAGAATTAGTTCATAAAACTAAACAGGTTTTTTCGCTGGCTCTCTCTGTTGAGTCCCATCCAAGGCTATAGAAATAATAGAAGCATTTGTACAAGTAAGTATGTGATATAAAACATAGAGCAAAATTAATATTCACAATGAAGAAATATAAACATTCAAAATATGCTTTTTTATTTACCTTAGTGGTCCACAAAGAGTAAGGCCAAAAAACCACAAGAGTGAAATGATACACCCAGCAACTGCATGTTTAAATATTTTGATCCACTACAAATGGAAATAAAAAAAGTTTCAGTCACATATGTTTTGCTAAGTATCTCAACCTTATAACAAACGGGAAGATGATATGGTATCACAGATATTTTAAAGTGTAAATAATTAAATAGAAAAACACTAATATCCCTACTGACGAACTCTAGATTTGCAAGACAGTACTGTTTCAAACTTTTATATTCTTGTATGTTTCTAGATCTTGAAATCTTTTTCTACAGAGTATATTTTCTGTTTTCTCAGTTTCTCAGTAGTTTCTAGGAATACCTAATAGTTAGTCTTCAAACTTTTTTCCATTAGGAATTCAGTGTTCCAGTTATTTGAAAACAGAAACTTAAAGATGGGGTTTAAAATATTAATACTATTCTAAAAATACTCTTTGTCTCTAAAACAGTACCCTTAAATTTATCATCTAATGAAAAAAATCCCACTACACTACAGGTTTCTAACTCTGCACAGTGCAAACATACGGTAAGCACAAATGCTGCCCGATGAGGCACACAGTGTAAAGCGATCATGCAGAATGTGGGGTGTTTTGGGCATGAAGCTCAGAACCCAGCTGCTGATGACAATGATGATGAAAGTGATGCACCGCGCCCTTCTTATACAATAGGTACCGTTCTAAGGACTTCACATACAGACATTTGTTATCACTCACCCCTCCGCTAGAAAGTTGTTATTATCTCTAACTTATAGGTGAGCAAATTAAGGCAGAAGGGAATTAAGTAACTTGCTCAAAATAGTATTAAGACAGAGCATGAATCCATCTGACTCATGCAGCCTCACACTTAACCCTATCTGCTTCGCAGTGACATTTATACTGTACTGGGGCCACAGGCAGCCTCATATCCAATGTGTGCATCTTGCAGAATGAGAAGCCTCTACTAAAACAACAGCATATATGCTTCTACAATTTTCTGCTCTCTTCCACTTTTTAAAACATCCCATTATCTTGGCATTTTCTCTTATTTTTGTTTTTTTTTTTGAGACAGGGTCTTGCTATTGTAGTTCAGGCTGGCCTTGACACGGTGGTGATCCTCTTGTCTCAGCCTCACAAATGCTGGGATTACAGGCGTGAGGCACCATAGCTGGCCTGTGTTGCTATTTTATAATTTACTCTTGAAGCCTCAATTCAGAAAAGACAAGTAAAAAGCATGTGGACTCTGGAAATTTTCTGCTGTGCATTTAAAGAATTCCTTAAGTATTCTCAATCAACAAATAAGCATAGTATTCTGGTCCACTGAATGGGAAGCTGCTAGGAATAAATGATTCTGAGAAAAACTCACCTGGTGTTTGGTAATCGACTTCCCAGAAGAAAACGGCTTTTGAAACAAAACCATAAGAAATGCAGTCCTATAAATATTGAAACAAGTAGGATTAATATTAATCAGTATTAAATACAAGATGTGATTTTTTTTTTTTTTTTTGAGACAGGGTCTCACTACGCAGTGCAGGCTGGCCTTGAGCTCACTTTGTAGCCCAGGCTGGCCTCGAAGTCACGATGATCCTTCTGCCGCAGCCTCCTGAGTGCTGGGATTATAGACCTGTGCCACCATGCCCTGCCTAGATTTTTTGTTTTTTGGGTAGTGGGAATTAAATTCAGGACCTCATGTTTGCCAGGCAGGCACTACACCACTAAGCTAAATCACCAGCCCAAGATTGATTTTTAAGGAACTTATTTTAAACAAATATACCAGAACTTGAAAGGCATGCCATCCTCTAAAGAACTATACTGGATGAAGAACCATACTAAATGTAATAAGGTTTCCATGACAACATCTTAGGAACTCTTTTATAAATACCTTCAAAACCAGTTCACAAACCCCACAAGTAAAGGTGATTCAATTTTTCTTTTCTTTTTTTTGAGACCAGGTCTCCCTATATAGTTCAGGCTAGTCTTGAATTCACTGTGTAGCCCAGGCTGGTCTTGAACCACAGTGATCCTTCTGCCTCAGCCTCCTGAGTGCTGGGATTTCCACCACTCAATATTTTTTAATACAAAAAAAAAATACATTTTTTTTTAATACCCTGAAATACTACACAAAAACATTCCTATTTTCTTAAAATTCAGTAACAAATCTTTAACCAATACAAATGAAGGAATTACCAATTATATGTCCCTATTTTCCAGACTGCTAAAAACAGTTATATAAAAATGTATATAACTGCTTAAAATTTCCTAGTCAAGACTCTCTCCCAGAGCCAGGTGTGGTGGTGCACAGCACTTGGGAGCCTGAGGCAGAAGGATGCTGTGAGTTCAAGACCAGCCTGAAGTGCATAGCAAAACCCTATCTCAAAAAGAAAAAAGAAAAAAAAAATCCCAAATTCCTGAAATTCTACTCTCAAGAGTTTTTTTTCTTTTGAGACAGGGTCTCACTAAGCCATTCAAGCTGGCCTTGTGCTCACCTTGTAGCCCAGGCTGGTCTCAAACTCACAACAATGATCCTCCTGCCTCAGCCTCCTGAGTGCTGGGATTACGCACGTGCACCACCATGCCCGGCTCCCAAGAGTCTTTAATAGATTTTTATTAGCACAGACAGTGGTCATCATCAATCTCAAAGTCCAGAAATCTCTATTTAGGAAGAATTTCTTATTGCACATAGAATGTAAAGTTCATATGAGGACCCTGTACTATGCAGGGACTGTTCAGTGAACAGTGCCCTGCATAGTTTAGGAAATAAGGAACACCTGTGCTAAGACACAGACAACAGTTTGTGCCTCCTCAACGATTGGAAATTCTTAGGATCCTCAAAACCCTTTCAGGGAATCTGCAAAGTCAACAAGTTTTTTCTTTTTTCCTGAGCAGGTCTTGCTGAGTAGTTCCAGCTGTCCTTGAACTATGTAGCCCAGGCTGGCCTTGAAGTCACAGCAATCCTCCTGCCTCAGCTTTCTGAGTGCTAAGATTAGAAGTGTGTGCCACCATGCCAAATACTAAACATTCTTTTTATTCTTATTCTCTAAAGAGTGTACTTACTGTACAGTGGAGTTTTTCAGAAAACAGATGATATGAGATACTGCAACAGACTGCTGAAGCAGACATGAGAATCCAGTTGTCCTCTACTAAACCAGATATTGAAAGAACTCTGTACTGGGTGGTGGCGAAAGCCTGTAGTCCCAGAATTTGGGAGGCCAAGACTGGAAGACCATGAGTTCAAAGCCAGTGTGGGCTATACAGTGAGTTTAAAGCCAGCCTGCACTACATACCAAGACCTTGTCTCAGAAACAAAAAACTGTGCAAACATCTCACTAACACAAACTAAAGCAAAAGTCTATATTTCTGGCAAGTGATTAAGAGTACAACAATCCCTTTTCTCATTTGCTTCTATCCTTGGGTATTCTATTTTAAAAACTTATCAAATACATGTCAGAAGGAATTGCACAAAATAGTCTATGTGAAGTTTCCTAAACATACTGTTAAAACAGGATTTCCAAGAAATAAAAATCTTGAGAACCCCTCCCCACATACTCACCCAAATTTTAATATAAAAATGAACTGAACAATGTGAACAGTTTTTAGGAGATCATATGATTCAAAAAGTCCCACTGCTTTCAAACATTTAGTGAAACACAGTAACACAATAAACTTCGTTAATCTGAAAAATAGAAGCAGAAACAATTTTCAGTATCACTGATACCACAAGGAGCTCAGTAATCCAAGTCATTATAGAAACCATAGAAATACACATAAATAAATACAAAACAATGGTTTTAAAAATCCCAAACAACTCACCATCTGCATAACTACTGCTCACATTTTGGTATATAGACCCCTTGTTTCAGTGTGTATGTGGGTATGAACAATAATGTATAGATATAGTCTAAAAAAGGCATCAAACTGAAAATCAAAATGTTCCTTGTTAACTGAGCTGCCAGCACTACTCTGTAATTTTTTTTTATTTTGATACTGCAGATTAAACCCAGGAAGCACTGACTGAGCTACATTGTCAGCCCTTTTTATTCCGTTTTGGGACAGGGTCTTGCTAAATTGCCCAGGCTAGCCTTGAACTTGTGTCCCTCTTGTCTCAGGCTCCTGGGTAAGGGGGTTATAGGCTGTACCTATGGATGCTTGTTATCTGCTTTCTAAGTTACTCCAAACAAACAAGGAGAATGAGAAGAAGAAACTAAATTCTATCTGTGATGAAACTACAAGACCATAACATAGGAAGAAGCAAAGGAAAGGTAAATGTCTTAGATTTGCCTCTTCTCTATCTTGCTAAGTAACAGCAGTGAGGGCTGTGGTTACAGCCTGGTGATAGGACCTCCAGAGTCAGGAAAAGGCTCAGGACCTGCAAACAGCTCAGCAAGGGAGTGGCAAACTGCAGAGGAAGACCTTAGGGCAGGGAATCTTTCAAGTAATCAGATCACAGATTCAGGTTGTTCAGCTTCTCCACCCTTAAGAGTCCTGAGACTTAGCCTTGGGCTAGGTCTGGATGGCAAGGCAGAAGAAAGGATGAGGCACTCAACTAAAAACAGACTAAAAAGATGTTTTTGTACTGGCCACAGTGGTACACACCTGTGACCCCAGCTACTTGGGAGGCTGACTTCCACACCAGCCTGAGCAATTTACTGGACCCTATCTCAAAATTTAAAAAAGGCTGGGAATATGACTCAGTGGTAAAGTGTCTAACATGTGCAGCGCCCTAGGTTCAATTCCCAGTACTAATACAGACAGCAGTACCATTGGGGCTGTAAGAGCTGCTTCCCTCCACTCACCTGAACCTGAACAATGCTGAAGGGCCAACTTGTGATCCTATCCTAAGGCTTACTACATGGAGGCAGAGATAACAAAAGCAAAGGCTGCTGGGGATTTAGCTCAGCGGCCTGGCAAGCTCAAGGTCATGAGTTTGATTCCTGGTATCAGAAAAACAAACAAAGAAAAGCAAAGGCTCCCCCACCCCCACACTGCCCCGGAAAATTCCAAAATTCTAAACTAGGACACATGTGCACCAGATCTGCCTGCATGACCTGCAGCAACCTTTCTTCACTGGAGCTCACTGAAAGGTCACACATATGGACCACATCTCACACACCCAATTGTAAGAGAGTAAATTATGGTAAAGGACATGCATAGCTGACACAGCTGACATGACCTAGCACCCTGTCAATCATGTTGTCAATCATGCTCTGGAAGACTCCAATGGGAGGCGACCAAGAACTGGTGTAACAGTTTAAGCCCCTGTATCTTTTTAGTAAAGAGAAAAGAAATTTCAAAACAAAATAGGGTAACAGTGGTTAATACGTTGTGTATTATCTTTACATTTTAAATTTGTTACTCAGAATACAAGATATAGGCATTTAATTGTCCAAACAATATTAGCACAAACCTTTTCAATGAAATAAATTAGTAGTATATCTTGTGTATGTGTATATATATAATTTTGCTTTTCCCTTCTTTCTTTTCTCCTTTCCCCCCATCCCAGTTTTTCTTTCCTTCTGAATAGTTTCTTCCTATTTTACAATATCTATTGTACCTTTTGGATTTTATTTACTCTTTCAGCTTCTCACACTAGGGATACAATACAGTGTTTGTACATCTGCATCTGGTTTATTTCACTTATGAGTATGGTCTCAAGTTGCATCCATTTACCTGTAAAAGTCTCCAGTTTATCCTTCTTTATGGCTGAGTAATACTCCATTGTATAAAAAGACCACATCTTTTTTAATCCATTTCCTGGTTGATGGGCATTTGGGTTGTTTTCAAGATCTAGTTATTACAAATTGTGCTGCTATAAACATGGGTGCACATATATTACTGGAGTATGATGTTGTTAATTCTTCTGAGAAGATAACCAGAAGGGGAATAATAACTGGGTCAAATGGGACCTTCAATCCTAGTTTTTTGAGGAATTTCCACACCAATTTCCACAGTGGGTGCACCAGGCTACACTCCCAGCAACAGTGCAGAAGAGTTCCTTTTCCTCACAGCCCCTCCAGCATATGTTAATGGGTTCATCTCTTGAGGCCCCTTCATCTTAGGCCCTCAGTGCTCTGCACCACTTTCCCCTCAGATGTGAGCCCACTTGCTCTGAATGCATTACCACCTTAAAGCACTGCTTTTTGTGCCACATTCCATGTTTTGCTCATTAAGCACAAGAACCTGGGAGCCTGTCTGGACCCCACTGGTACAGGACGTGAGGAATGGCAAAGCTAGCTGGGGAAATAAGCTGGACCTGTCAAGCACAGAATCCCAGAACAGCATCAAATTAATTCCCACAACCTCAAGGAACTTCTTTCGAGCTCTCACAAGATGTGGACAGCATAAAAAGATGAGACACCATGAGGAACCCTCTATCCTGAACTCCTCACAGCGGCACTTTTATTCTTGCTTTTATCCTTTCTTCTCTTTGGTCGGCCCAAGTTCACTCTGCAGAGCTAGCTCTTCCCATACCCTTTCACCCCTCACTTTTCAAATCACCTTTTGGCACCATTTTGGTTGTCTCATCCCATTCTTGATTCGAAGTGAGAAGGGTCAGGCTACTTCTGACTGGCATGCCATTTTTAAGGAACTACACAATACCCTCACCTATGGTAACAACACCACAACAGAAAAAAAGTAGTTTCCTTTCTGAACTCTGCCTCTGTTCATTCATTTGCTCTAACAGCCCAACAACCAGACTTCACTCTCTCAGGAACAAATGCTTCTGGAAAACTACCAAATCTCTAGCAAGTACCCAGGTATGAAAGAAAAACATATGTACTAGAAAAAAATAGGACATTAACACTGAAGAGGTGAAAACACATTAGAGATTCTCCAGCCCAATTCCTCACAGTTGTAGATCAAAAAGCTGAAGTAGAGAGAACTGGGTAGGGTCAAGCCTATGTCTCTTTAGCCTGCTTTTTAAATGTTTCACACAGGAAATCAAAGTTTATGCCAAAGACTTTTGAGGGTTGTCATCTGTTCCCCATTATATAGCCATTACCCACAGGGCTATGCAGCCATTCTTCAGTACCCCTTTCTCACTGTGTGCCAGATGCCCAATGTGGCCAGTGAATCCAGAGGAAGTCTGATGAGGTAGCTTTACCTAAAGCCTTTTCGCTTCCTGATAAGAGGTGGATATGCATCTGTGTTTTTTTTTTTTGGTACCAGGAATTGAACAGAGATGTATCTGGAATTACTATCCCTGCCTTATTTTCACTTTGAAGAGAGAACTGTTATCTAAAAGGTATCTAAAATATTTTTTATCAAAAAACTGCCACATCCATTTGACAACATCTAAATACGAAAGCCAACATACTAATAATGGCAAGGGAGACCAAGAATTTATAGCTCAGATGGTATCATAGGCTCTGAACATATACAATACCAGCAACTTAATTTTTTTTTTTTAGACAGGTCTCGCTGTGTAGTTTAGGCTGGCCTTGAACTCAAGTGATCTTCCTGCCTCTGGCTCGCGAGTGCTGAGATTATAGGTGTGCACTATCATGTCCAGCTCCCTTTAACTAGGGAGGCGAAGGACATCTTCAGAGTTTGAGATATAGAACGTACATTGAGGACTACATAGGAACAACCAAGTATGGAAAGGGAAAGACACTTCAAAGGACCGAGAGCAGCGTATGCAAAATCTAAGCCCTGTACTGGAAAGGAGTCTGTCAAGACAGTATTCCATTTAAGCTCAGTTCACTAGCTGATACTCCTAATGACAGGAAGTCATTAAGGAAATGGAAAATTATATCTATATGTGTATCTCTATGTCCATCTCTCTCTTTATCTATCTGTAAAATTTGCAGTGCTAGGGATCAAACCCAGAGGCTCATGCATGTTAGGCAAGCACTCTCCCAGAGTTACACTTTCAGGGTCAAATTATACTAATATACTTGTTTTAAGAAAATGAGTAATAGGGGCTGGGGATTTAGCTCAGGGGCACAATGCCTGCCTGGCAAGCGGGAGGTCGTGAGTTCGATTCCCGGTACTGGAAAAAAAACAAAAAACAAACCAAAAAAAAAGAGTAATATATAAATTTCTAAATAATTTCCGTCTAAAATAGTAACAAAACCTAACAAATCTGGCACTTGAATAACATGATTTAGTCAGATGGAACATTAACTTTATGTAAAGTACTGACCCACTCCCCTTTCCCCTAAAATACTACTTCTTGATGATGTACTACTATTATCTGACACTTTCTCTGTTCCCTTTTTAAGTTACAAACACATACAGGTTACAAAAGCAATTCTGGAAGTTTTAAATAAAATTATTCCAAATTTTCTTCTCATAGGCAATCAATTAGTACATCCTTCCAAAACTCTTCCTTTGTATCTTCATGTATGTACGCACACAATATTTTGAATTATTCATACATTTTACAACTGTATATATTCTGATATTGCTACATAATCATTAAATTAGAAAAATCAACATTTTAGACTATTTGATATTTATTTATTTTTAAATTTTTAATAAACATTTATTGAAAGCAACTATACTTCCACTTCATGGTAACAAACAAAAACAAAACACATCAGTTAAAAGAGAATTAAAATATAAAATAGTGATAAATCTCACCACAAAATTTACAAGACCTGTAAACAGAAAACTAGAAAATATGACAGAAATTAAAAATTTTAAGGAACATTTTAAGGTGAAATACTTGAAATAACAGTTTTTTATAAAAATCCAAAAGACTTGAAATCATCAAAACAATTTTGAAAAGGACTATCTGATATTTAAATTCCTAATTAATGATATCTTTTGGGGGATAAGTGAAACACTGGCTAAGGTCAAGTATCTATATATTAATAAGCAGACATCTCCAACTCATTTTTTTTTTCTTTTCCAACTCATGTTAAGGAGGGAAAAATTAAGTTTTATTCACTGGGGAAAATCTGGGGTAGGGGAGGGGGTGGAGGAGAAAGGGAGGCTCTTACACAAGGGCAGTAGCCTTTGAGCTTGGGCCTCTCTAGATAACACAGGGTGTTCAATCTACCACCCTACCTTATTTGCCATTATTTGCCATTAAGTAGCCTCATAAAAAGCACCACCAGTCTTTTTTTTTTTTTGTGAAGGGCTAGAGAATTCTTTAGTTCTCTAAACCTGGAATTACTGCAATTTGAATTTGGGCTCATATCTGCTTCCTTTTTTTTTTTTCTTTCTTCATATCCGCTTCTTGAGCTTGCTCACAGTAGCTGCTTACGGTTCTCTGAATTAAAAAAAAAATTAGGCTGAGCGTGGTGGTGCATGCCTGTGATTTCAGCACTGAGGGAGGCTGAGGCAGGAGGACTGGTGGGAGTTCAAGGACAAGCTGGGCTATATAGTGAGTTCAGGACCAACCTGAAATACATAGCCAGACCCGTCACAAAAAAAAAAAAAAAAAAAGGCCCAATCTGAGTTGAATTAGATTCTACAATAAATTACAATAGAGGGAGAACTCTGCCAAGCATATAACACATAGAAGATGTCAAAGGATCGCTAAACATATTTACCTGTCAATAAGCTCTTGAGAAAAAACTTTAAAACTACTTATTAAAAATAATTTCAAGTTTACACAAAAGTTGCAAGAACAGTACACCCTCTACCTAGACACCCTGTTACCATACTCTCCTATCTGCTTTATTACCTTCTAAGTTCACAGAGGCTTTTATCCTCCTGCACTATTTTTTGTTTGTGTTTTGAGACAGGGTCTCACTGTGTGGTTTAGGCAGGCCTTAAATTTACCACATAGCCTAGCCTGGCCTCCAACCCAGTGATCCTCCTGCCTCAGCCTCCCCAGTACTAGGATTACAGGTGTGTGACACCACGCCAGACTCTATCACGAGAGTAACTGAAATACAGAATATCACATCCTTTATTCCTAAACCCAGTACTTATATTTCCTATGAATGTGGACATAGTCTCTATAAACCACTAGAATTATTAACAGGAAACTTAACAGTGATATTTTAATCTATGGTTCATAGTCCAATCTGTGAATTGGTCTTTATAGCATCCCGCCATCCAGACCAGAATCCCCTACTACATTTAGTCATGGGCCAATAATTTTTTGTTGTTGTTGTTGTTTTGTTTTGTTTTTTCTTCCGGTACCAGGAACCGAACTCACGGCCTTGCGCTTGCCAGGCAGGCGCTGTGCCGCTGAGCTAAATCCCCAGCCCCTCATGGGCCAATAACTAACATCTGATATATTGCTACTTACAGAATCAGTTGCTCAAAATAGCTTAGAAAATTAAATTTCTGCCACAAGAATGCAGTTGGTTGAAGTTCTGTTCTGGCATATGGAGCATTCGTTCCTTTCCACAAAAAAGTTATGTTAGGAACGCTGTTATGCAGTCGTAATGAAATTACTAAAATTATCTTTAAACTTCAAAGGAAGTTCTGAAGAACCAGAAAAGCTTAACCTTATTAAAAATGAAGGCAATGAACACCAGTTCCAACCAAACTGCTGGGGCACATTTTGCGAGCCTTTTACACGACCTCAGGACTTAGGACGGGCTAGGAAAGAACGCAAAGGACAGTATCGCTGTCCTACCTGCCCCTGATCTTTCATGGGTTAGGAGGACGAGAGGAAGGGGAAGGGAAAATGTCACTTTTTACTCTATGAATTGCTGTACTGTTTGAACTCCTTTACAAGGAGCAGACATTTCTTGACAATAAAACAAGCCCCCTCCCTCCAAAAAGTAAGAAAAGGAAAACTCGGAGACAGGGCGGGATTTTTGATAAGCTGGTTTACAACCTGTACAGCAAGCACTTGTTTGTACTTCGGTTTCCTCGCATGAGAGGTGATGGTGACCCGCCACTACTGTACGCAGGCAGGGCCGGAAAGGTTAAGCAGTCACTCCGCTACTTCGAAACAGCCCCGACACCGTTTCTAGGGAAGCGACCGGCCGGCGCTCCTACGCTGACGGTCCGCCCGGAACCCAGACCCCGCGCACAAGTTTCCGGGGCCCGGAGAGCCCGGGAACCCAGGACCCCGCAGGCAGCCCGGGGCAGGCAGGAAAGGGCGGGGGCCCAGGGCTCCGCTGGACCCGACGGAGGCCGGGAAGGTGAGTCTGAGGCCGTGCTGCGCGACCCGCCGCCGCCGCCCCGGTCCCTTACCGAGCGCTGGGTACGTCCACCGGCCCGAGGCCGCCGCCGCCGCCGCTGCCGCCGGGCCTGGCCAGCGCGTCCCCGCCGTATTTCTCCTCCATCTCGGGCTCAGGAGCCGCCGCCGCTGCCCCGGCCGCGCGGTCGCCTCATGTCGCACGCTGCGGCGGAGCCACGGACGCAGGCACGTCACTCCTCCATGGCAGCGCCCCGGCGGGTTCCCCAGGGCGGGCCGCCGCCACCGCTGTCCTCGGCTCCGGCTCACAAGTCCACGCGCGCCGGGACTAGGCCGTGGGCAGCTTCGGGGGCGCCAGCTCCCGGGAGGCCGCAGCGCTAGGGACGTCGCCAGGCCACGTCATCCAGCCCAGCAGCCCTCACGTCCCGGGGGAGTGCCCGGCCTTGCGCACGCGCACAGCGCACCACGCGGGCCTTTCTAGGCTCCTCCCCCCGCGGCTGACTACTCGAATCTCCGCCCCTTGTCAGTCTCTCCCGTAGACGCCGGGCGTGCACTTAGCTGTCTCTGCAGCGCCATCTATGGGCCGTCACGGGTACAGCGGGTTCCTATGCGTCCAGGATTAGAAACAGGCAAAGAAAATGTACCACGTGTGATTAGAGTGGAGATTCTTAATCTGGGATACGGAACATACTGGCCCCCTTGAAATTTGTGCGATAATGAATCAACATTTTCTTGATGAGGGGGTTCAAAGTTTTTAAATGTGTGCGATCCCCAATGAGATAACTGTTTTTGAATCTGTAAAGATTCTATAACAAATAGTGGGCTGGGACGATTTGGCCAATAAAAAAATGGAGAGAGGTGGCTGCTTTTATGGTTTGGATTTGATTGGGAGCTGGAGTATTGGTAGTGATGACCAGACGCAGGTGGTGGAATTGCTGATGTGAGGAGATAATATAAAACGAAGGGGATTTGGTTAAGTGTGGCTGCAAACTGTCTTACCCCCTTTTTGCAAAGTATAAAATTTCTTTACATTGATAGAATTTCTAGCTGGAAGTGGTGGCATATGCCTGTAATTCCAGCACTGGAGAGGCTGAGGTAGGAGGATCATTGCGAATTCAGCCTAGGCTACATAGTGAATTAAGGCCAGGTTGAACTACATAGCAAGACCCTGTCTCTTAAAAAAGAAAGTTGGAAACATGAGCATGTTTGTCTGTCTTTTTGGGGAAGTGTGTGTGAAATTTTATATTTTTAAAATTAGATTTTATTGGTGCATTTTAGATATACATGATGATCGCATTTATCATAGAGAATTTGTACCTGTACATGATAACTTGTTTTTTCCCCATTTCCCTACTATCCTTCAACTTCGTTTGTCTCTCTTAAATCTCAACTGTGTTCCTAATTGTGAGTTACTTAGAGACTGCCAAAAAAATGTATACACACTTCAGGAAAAGAAAAACTTGTATAACTATTTTAATACTAAGTCAGGCATAGTGTCACACACTTGTAATCCCTTCCACCAGAGGCTGAGGCAAAAAGACTGCTGTGAGTTGGAGGCCAGCCTGGGCTACAAAGTAAGTTCAAGGCCAACCTGAACGGTACAGCGAGACCCTTTCTCAAAAAGACAAAAAAATTTTAATACTAAATTTATTGAGTCATCGTGAGATTAATACAAGTACTTTTGGCATCTGCAGTTACAAGAGGGGCTCAGAGTGATGGCTATTATCATCCTGACATTGATTAGTACAGTGAACTGCTGTGTGGGTAACCTTGGTCACTGAGATTGCTGCATGTTATGGTTTGTGTCTGGATGTCCCCCTAAAGCCTCATGCAGTCATGGAGCTGGCTTTTAGAGTTTATGATTGATCCATGCTCCAATGCTGAGATCATGGGTGTGAGTGCTACACCCACCCTGGGGCGGATAGTTTGCATATGTAAGGGAGAGAAAGAGGCTGCTTGCCGCCACTCCTCCCTTTTGCTCTTGCTGCTTTCTGCCACCATGAACTGTTGCCCTGTGCCATGTGCCCCTCTGCCTTAGAGCCAGCCGAGGATGGACTGAAACCGCTACAGACTGTGAGCTAAGCAAACCTTTCCTTCCTTAATTTTGGGCATCAGGTATTTTGTCTCAGCAATGAGAGAAAAGTAACCAAGACACTGCATATGCATTTTCAATTTCTTCTCTAAGGGCCGGCAGTGCAGTGGGTTTTCTGTAATATACAACATCCTCTAGGGTCCCCTATATGATGGTAACACCATCTGTTGAAAAAACATCATACTATTTTTCTTTTCCTGAAGTGTGTATATATTTTTTGGCAACTCTCTATAGCATACAGTTGTTACAAGGAAGATCATGTGTGTTAATATGTTAAAAGCATCTGAAAAAATAAATGGTATATGATGTTACTCAATAAATGTTAACAATTGCGATATTGAAAAATTTGGGGGTAGGGATTTAGAGATGAAAATAAGGTTTGGAGTTGTATAAATTATAGTTAGCCTATAGTATTCTACTCAGTTTGAATATGAAGAAGCTTCATGACATACGAAAGAGTCTGCCTGCTGGGACATTATAAGCTATTGTGGAAAATATTTAGCAATTTGAGAGAGAGGCCCTTTTGACAACATTACACATCAAAGGGACAAGCACTAAGGTTTCCAGAAAAGTGGGAGAGCAAGAAAGGACTCATTGGCAAACAGAACCTCGTCGGGAGCTCAGGTAGGGTTTGCATATGAGAAAGGCACTAGGGGAAACACACCGGGAGAAGACTGAGAACGCCAACGCCGGGGGAAACAGGACCTTGAAGAGCTGAAGTTTCAGGCGTGCTCCTGGTTAGCAAATGAGAGCAAAGATATGATATTCTCACCAGCTTTACTGAGGTTCTTAAACTTAATGTGTTTCACAGTATTGCTTATTGAATTTGCATAAAAAATACATATTTTTTACTGGCACCTGGTGATAAGTCATAGGCTTTGAGTAGGATGTGCCAGGTGAGACCCAACCAGGAGTGACAATCTTGCTTCACTTTCTCCAAGTGATGTTTCTCTTTTTTGGGGGAGACGGTTAGCAAAATCTTTATAGAATTGCTATTATTCAAATCAGAATGGCAGTGGTGAGGACTATTGTGATTTTCTAGGAGTTACTTCCATTCCTTTGGAGCTCAGGGAGCTAGATAAAATGACATGTATAAATTGAGATGAACTTTTATTTCAAGCAGAACTCAAATTCAATTGATTCCTTTAAATTTTATGAAAAAATAAAACAAATTTTCATAACCAAATAAAAAGAGAATAGCAATAGTTATGATACTGTGTGTTATCTTCAAAGTAGTTGCTCAGTACCAGACATAAGCCAAAAGAATTCTTACAAAAAAGTGACAAACATAGTAACACAAACCTCCTGATTTGGTTGGAATCACATTTTTCTTTTAGGCCAGTGCACATACACTGCCAACGGCTTATTTTTCCTAATGGAAGAGAAAAAGTGTCTCCAGTTTTCTTTCTTCCTGTTCACTTCTCAGCCCATTCCAGTCTGTTTTTCATCTTCCTCCCTCCTCTTCACAGACCTTTTCTCAGCCTTACCTCTCTGTCTTTGTCTGCTCATCTGCCCTCTGCTGTCTGCCTGTCTGTCTTGTAAGGTCTCACTAAGTTGCATGACTCAAACTCAGGATCCTCCTGCCTCAGCTGTCCACCAGCTATCTCAGAGACTATAGCTGGGACTATAGGTGTGAACCACCATGGCCAGCTGTTTCTTCTTGGCTTCTAGAATCCCATGTTTACTTGTCTTGAAGCTCAATTTTTGTGTTCAAAAGTAAACTTATGAACTTTAACCCCCAAAGGGATCCTCTTCTGGTACCATTTATCCAGCTTAGCAAAATTAAAAGCTGAGTTCTATCCTTTTACCTCCCCTTCCTTATGATCTGTGTATAATGGATCTATCACCAAGTTGCATCATTTTTTACCTTCTAATATTTCTTGAACTACCCCCAAATTTTCTGTGTCTGTCACCATTGTTTAACCTGAACTGCCTTTTGTTCAGCGTCTTTTGTTCAGACAGCTCCAATAACCTCTTATCCTGCCCTTCCAGGCTCACTCTCTCTTCTGCAGTGTGTTCCATATTCTGCCACAGTAACTGTTTTCCAACTTCAAGTCTTACAGTATCCTGTCACCTTCATCCCCACCTTCCCATGGCTTTCCAGACCCTTAACACAAGCTCAAATTATAAACATGGCCAGAAACATCCTGTATAGGTTTAACCCATTTACCCTTTGGTTTTATCTCATATCAAGTCTCATCCTGCTTTTGGGGTTCCAGAACCCCCCTTTTCCTTCCTTAATTATGCTATTTTGCCTTCCAATACAAGATGTTGCTCAGAATGTTTTCCATACCTAAATGCTCCCTGCCCTAACATTTATTCATCAAAATTAAGCTCCATGACGTTAGGGACAGAGACTGTTTTACCTCTTCCTTCTGTGTGGCCCAGTGCCGGACATAGAAGACATGCTGGAAGACATGCTGGAAGACATAGGAATACTTGCAGAAAGAATGAGTGGATGATGAAAATAGGTGTGTATATAGTTATACATTCCAGATTACTTGTCCTTTCTGAAAAGTGTTATTTCCTACTATAAATGAATTATGAAGAATGGAGTCTCATCACATACAAATTTAGCTAATGCAAACTCAACTATATAAACTCACCCCCACCCCCAAAAAAATGAGATGGAGAGAGACAATCTCAAGGGTGCCTGATTCTGCCTGGCATTCCATTCAGGGAGCCCTTGGGTGAGCACGGTGTGATGACGTGTATCTCTTTTTCTTCAGTTGGTCCTGCTTTGTAGGTGCTGCTGATGTTATCATCTCACTATCCTAAGTGAGAGTCTAAGAGACGCAAGGTAGGTTTTGCTTATGATTCCCCAGTTGGTTTTCTATTGCTCCATCTGGTGCCCAGTCAAAGAAACAACAACCATTCCAGCGGAGGGAGAACAGTTTGGATTGCAGCTGGGGCTTTGAACATTTCTAAACTCACTATTGGACTTTCTGGTAACCCAATTTCAGGGATGTTCAGAGTAATATTGTGTACATGGCTTTGTTTTATGAACTAGTCTAACACAATCTTCATGGAATATGAAACTATCTTGTTGTATAAAAAATTTAAAAATAGAGAAAAGTAGAAGGAAGTATATACACTTAGAAGCCATAAACTAAAAAGCCTACTTATCAGTTGCCCATGTAGTAATGGTATTTTTACTTTTTAAGTCTCTTTTATAAGCACAATATTTGGAGTTTCAGTTTGCATATTGTATACACCCCTCCCTAGCTCCTTAACAGGAAAATTTTAGATGTAGTTAAAAAATAAAATCCAAGACTCATAAATTTTAGTATATTTAATGAATAGTTCATACTTATTGTATAAATTCTTTTGCCTTGTAATTGAATTATTTCTCATTCACTTTATGCTTTTCATTT